AACCAACTGACGAACTTTGGATACTGGATTATCGTTTTACTGCTCCATGTAGTTTGCTATTCAGGTATAACTTCTTTTGTTATTGAGTGTGGAGCCTTTCATACATATCGCATTGTCTGTATAATTTAATATCACTTTCCGAGTTGTCGACTCACATTGTATGACGCAAGTTTTCTTGCTGATTTCACCTCCATTACTTGTTACTTATAGATGTTGCAATTACAAGTACCTTTACGACAACAAACTGTTCAAATAAATACTATCTTTGAATCGATCAAGAAACTTTTCAGAAAAACAACTGTACGTTTTATAAATTATACTGCCGACTGATGGTGAAAGTAAAGTACAGTTGGATCAAACAATCTTAATTGAGTGACTTGGATCATCTTGAAATTGTCAAACTCAGATCATAATAGTTGCTAATGATCGTAGCAAAACAAACTTCAAATAACTTTAAGTGCTACAAGAGTATGCTATTGCGTTGTCATGGAACAAATCCTACGCGTTATATCTTTGAAATAGTTAATGATTGTAAATAGATGGGATTTGCCAGAATACGTATATTGGCGTTGAATTGGCTTCCTCCTTCATCTGATTAATTTTCTAAACCAATTTTGTCGGCAAGAGTAGTTGATGCGAGCGAGTGGTTAATGATCTTGAAACTTAGCTTGCTAACTCTAAGAAGTCTGATTGTTTCTTGACACGTAATTAATACGATCTTAACAATAATGTGGACGTAATGAGAATTCGCCACAGTACTGACACGTTTGACACGTCGAAATGTGCTTGTACAAGTCTAACACTAATCTACTTAACGTGTTGATAGAATATCTAAGTACAAGATTAGAATTTCTCGCAAGTAATTTCCAAGTAGCATGTAAGCATAATTTTTCTTATTGGTTCATTTGGTTCAAAACAACTTATTCTTGAAAGTGATTCGTAATAATAAATTAATAGGCCGGAAGTTTAAAAACCGAGATAAGTGATTAGCCTTATTGAAAGTATAAAGCTAGGAAACAAGATAACGGAAATCTGAAAACAAAAGATCACTAGTATTGTATATCGGTAGAAAGAGGCTTCATGAGTGAGCCTTCTTGCTTTGCATAGATTAAGTTTGGTGCAATAGTTAATCTTACTTTTTATGCTATTTTCTAAACAAGGCGAGCAAATCTCTGTTTCGAGAAGCAAAGCTCGAATGGACATATGAAAAGCGAATGTTTGTCCGTAAGTAATTGAAGATTGCGCTAGCTTATAAAATAATTTTAACGTCGATATCTGCAAAAGCATATTAAGGCGTGGTACAGTGCAAAAATGTAAGGCTTCGATTGCGACAACACGTTGCCCTTATAAACTAATTAAACAATATAACAGTCCTTGAGACAAATTTCAACGTAAATGCGATATCGAAAGTTTAGAGTAGAATATGTGAAAAACTCGACAAGATAATTGTATCATTTCCAACCGAGAATGCTACCCGATCTAGAAAACTTTTGCGCTCCAACAAATAGCAATTGTTATTTTATTCAGCCGATGGCACCAATCAGGATATATATCAGTATTAAAACTAGTCGGAGAGATAGATGCGTAAATTTTATAACGACGACGGAGTTCACGTTGCGAACCAACGCTTAAAGTCGGGATTTCTTTTAGTAATACAGTTAAGTATTTCACTCTCTATGAGTGCAGGTCGTGACTTACTGTATGACAGTTATGACAGTACATATTTTATTAACGTCAATCATGTGAACGCGTTGGTTACACCACCATAAAGTAACATCCGAAAAGTCCGATTAATAAATCTTTGCGCACTAGCAACTAAATCTATCTTGCCCTATTTCATAATGAACACGTCTTCGAGTACTGCGGTTAACAAAGAGAAACTTATCGCCGGAACGAAAAAAAAGGACGCAGGGGGCGAAGCTTTTAAGAAAGGAAATATGACTGAAGGTATGAACGACAATACTGTCTAGTAAAGTCGGCACGCATTCACGAAAATGTTAACACCTTCTATGGCTTAATGCTTAATAATGTTCAGCTTTAAGACATTACCATGAGGCAAGTATGTAATTAATTATATTGAAACGAAGAATGTATTATTGTCATTGTTTCATTTATCTTATATCTTAGTTTTGTTTAACTGTTTCTTCTAGGCTTTATTGTGTCTGAATGGTCTACAAAACAACAAAGCTTTCGCAGTATTTCGAAACGATCAGCAAACACCAGAGAAAGATCCTCTTCAACAAGAAATCCAGAAAGTCATTAGCGTTTTATATAGCAACATGGCAGGCACGTTACCCGTTTGCTGTGTAGATGCATCCGAGCCACTCACTGGCAACATGCTCAAATTCTTATTACTTTTTTACCCCCTTCTCACTTTTATATAAATCCACAGCTTGTCACATAAAACTTGAGCGATGGTCGCGAGCAATTGACTGTGTGAATCAGGTTGATGACATGTATTATACTAATTCGAATGCCATAAATTCGTAGTTGATACTGACTTTAAAGAGAATAATGTAACAGGCGTTGAAGAATGACGCGGATAATACAAAAGCTCTCTTCAGACGAGCTCAAGCGTACATCCAGGAGGGTAATGTCGTTGGAGCGCGACAAGATTTGGATAAATTGAGTAAAAACAACCCGGACGGTAGGTGAAAGAAAAGTTGTCTGTTTTATAAGTGTCAAGTCATATAACCAGCATGATCCGTGACTTAGATAATTCTTCTACGCTTCGCGTTTCATATTCACCAAGTTCTATTCGATCATATCACAAACATTCTCATGACATAACCGTTTCCCAATCACTTTGTAGATCCTGGCATTAAACGCGAGTATTACAAGTTGCGGCAAAAGGAAAAAGAACAAGATCGCAAACAAGCCAAAGACCTTAAGGGACTCTTTGCACGAATGCAAAGAGAAGATGAACGTGAAGAGGCCGAAAGGGCAAAGGCGGATAAAGAGAAACAAAGTACAGAAAGTGAGGATGCAAAGATTCAAGAGATAAACACTGACGAGCCAAAGATACAAGAGATAAACGCTGACGAGCCAAAGATTCAAGAGACAAACGCTGACGAGCCAAAGATTCAAGAGATAAACGCTGATGAGCCAAAGATTCAAGAGATTCTAGAAGAATTGAATACCGATGGGCCAAAGATTCAAGAGATAACTGATGATTGAATGGGTCTGAGAAGAGGGCTATGAAATCTGTAGGGTTGCTTTTCGGATGCTAGGTGAACTCTGATGAACAATTGCTGCTACAAGTCCTATTAATCATAAGCCAACGGTCAGTTTATTCACTTATTCTTTAATAGCGTCTAAAACTTTTTAATCTCCGTATACAAATATCATCACCCAAAGTATGTATGGTTTCTGCAATGTGAGCGCCCACCTAAATAATTAAACAATAATTACTGCCTGGCTTCAATCGATTCAAATATGGAAGTTGTTTCTTCATTACCTGAGTCCCCGTGATAATATATCTAAGAGCTGACTTGACGTCCTTTGGCTTGAGTCTGGTATCTTTTATGATACTATCTATAGCCATCTTAAGACCGTCCAACGTGAAATTGTCTCCCCTTATCAAATTCAACTTCTCCAACGCGTTTACGGCAGTGGTCCCTAAAACGAAATTGCACATAAGCTTATCGTAGCCAACTGATAACAAAATTAATTACCTTCTCACTTACTCAATTTCTCATCCGAAATCTTGGATCGAAACTCTTCAGCGCTCTTTGTGTCGTAGTCAGGGTCGACAAAGAAATACTCGCATAATTCTGGAATATCTTTAACATTACGAATGCGCTCCTTTTGATCATAAAGGCAAGTTTTAGATATACAGCAGAAGTAGTCATGGAGTAGACCTGTTTAACCAAATACCTTGATTGTATTTAGAACTCTTGCAAGATATTCATTTTCCAATCGATACTCTCCTTCTGATCCTCTCAATCTAACAGAATGAAATGGTATCAATATGGCTAATTCCTTGTTAAGTCTCTTGCTGCTCGTCAACTTGCCTGTCTCCGTACTTCTTTCTGACCATTATCCTGAGCATCGCCACAAGTTCGTCTAATCCTGCCGGGGTTCCAGCTTTACGTAACAGATGTTGTTTGTTTAAAAAATCCAACTTTTCATGCATTACAATTGCTGGAGATTTGTTCAGATGCTCCAATGAAAACTTGAAAGCATTGATGATTACTGCATCAGTTATTCGTGTCTTAAGACAAGTCTGGGTATCGTTCTATAATAAACTAGTGGCCGCAATTCTAGCTATGATCGGCAATAGTAAAATGGCATGATGCTATTCTTGAACTAGACCACCCATTAGCTATTGTCACTAACCTTCACCCCATCACATCCACATTATCATACCTCTCTAATCATATCGTCCAAAGTCATCACCTCATTGGCGCTTGGCGGATACCATCCCAATAGTGCAACAAAGTTCAAGACTGCCTCCGGAAGATATCCATTACGAGCAAAATCTTCTACATTCACGTCTCCTGAACGTTTGGATAGTTTTGTCCGATCTGGATTAAAAAGGAGTGGAACGTGTGCAAAGTATGGTGGAATCCATCCGAACGCTTGGTATAGGAGAAGATGTTTTGGTGTGGAGGGTAGCCATTCCTGAAACAGAGATGTAACACGTTCGACAAGAATAAGAACGCGAGAGAAAGGACTCGTACAACTAAATCTCGTCCCGTTAACATACTACCTCGCCACGCATTACATGAGTGATACACATTAAATGGTCATCAATGACATTAGCCAGATGGTATGTAGGGTAGCCGTCACTCTTAAGAAGTATAGCGTCGTCTATGATCTTTCCACTGAATTTGATTGAGCCATGAACCAAGTCTTTTACCACCAAATCACCGTCTGGCGCCTAACAAAATCTTAAAATATAAATACTGGTGACGTTCCGTATGTCCTAACTTACACACCAACAAAAGTAAACCTGACCTTGAGTCGAACAGTATATGGAAGTCCTTGCGATAGATTTTCATCTATTTCTTTGGCACTCAAATGTAAGCAGTGCCTATCGTACACCATCTCCCGTCCACTCTTCTGTGATTCTAAGCGAACTTGTTGAAGTCTCTCTTGAGTACAGAAACATCTATAAACTTTGTTTTCCTAAATTAATACAACAAATAAATTATATATTCTATAATACTGTTGTAGATATATAGCGTTCTTATTACTTACACTGAGCAATCTATTTATGTGCATTCTGTATATGTCAATTCGTTCAGACTATATCAAGTAACTGCATCAAGATGAATGTCAAATAAATCGTAATGTTCAGACACAAAGTCCACGCACTTGATAATATGGCCCATGCTCTCCTTTACCAGGTCCTACAAATACAAGCCCTATAAGCATCCAACTATTCCATTCGTCTGCACCCTCACTCCCCATTTTGCAGACCTTCATCGTATGTCAATTCAGCCCATTGCAGCGTCTTTACCAGATTCTCAACTGCTCCAGGTACGTAACGCGCCTATTTGTGAAAAACTGGCAAATAAATGATCAGTTGGTAATGTGCAGCGCGAGCAACGATAATAATATTTCGCGATAGCTAACGCATGAGTGAGAGACATGCTTACTCTATCAGTGTCTTCTATCCGAAGGAGAAATTTGCCGCCAGATTTACGCGCAAAAAGGTAATTGAATAAAGCGGTGCGGAGTCCGCCGAGGTGAAGATAACCTGTTGGACTTGGCGCAAAACGAACGCGTACAGCCGACTGTTTGGGAGACTGAGCTTGAAGCGTATGCGTATGTGTACAAGCACGACGAGCGAAAAAAACGAACGACCTGGGGTTAACTTGAAGTTTCCGCATTGCTATGCGTCCAAGGTATTCTTTTTTCTTTTTTATGAATTATTTTTGGGGTGAGGTTCAAATAAATGTCGATCGTCCCAAAAAGGACTAGTATGTGAAAGAAAGTTTAATTTCCCTTGCCTTGTACTATGCTGATCAATATCTCAGCTTTGATGCTGGACGGATTTCCCTTTTTTTAGTTCCATATAATCTACCTCCGTCATGAAGGTGCTTGTACAAATGCTATTATACATTCAGCTCGTGAAGAGCTCTGTTTGCACCTGCAATAATCAGACGATGTTCTACAGAATGTATGCGTGTTTCTAAATTGTCTAGCGTGTCTGTCTCTAATATAGCAACTTCTTCGACCACAATCGGCTCATCTCTGTCGACTTCTGGGATAACCTTATGAACATTACTCCAGTATTTCGTATCTCCCCTCGTTTGTATGCCTCATACGCACGTCTAATTGCATCTGCTCCATCAAATTGTCCCGGGAGAAATTAATACCGTTCTTTTTGCGCGAAATGTTCCAGGAATTCACTAGAAAGTATCAGCATCTATCCTGCGAGAACTACCAGGTCTGGTTCGTAAGCTTTTATTTTTGTAGCCAAGTCGATATCCTACTCTATTCGTGACCGTTGTATTGACTTTCACTGTGTAATATAATTAAGTGACTCAAGATTTGAAAAAATTGTAACGTTTACTAAAATAAACAATTTCATGAACCTTGAATGGCGAGTAATGAGCCTTAACATTACAATCAATTATTCGCCAAATACAAAACAAAATAGAGTTGGCTGTTAAATTTTTGCAACAAAAAAAAATATGTCGAAGATACCATCCCGTACATATTGTTTAGTAACGCCTTAGTATTGGTCTAATATAATGTAATAATATCCATCTTTTTACAGTTTGACTAATATGTAATGTATTGCGGAAGCAATGAAGTTTTGCCTCTCGTCAATAGATATGGTAATTGGTAGCTAATAACCTTTCCTAGACGATTTTTTAGATAAATCAAAGCTCGAGGCTATCCTTATCTGTGGACGCAATAATGAATGTTATACCAAATTTAGATGCTTCGCGAGTGGTATAGATAATTTTTACAGAATCCAGGTATACTTATGGAATTTTAGGGTACACACCAATCGTCGATAATTTATTACCTGCCATGGATGGAAATCCGTAAATCCAAAATCAGTTATTATTTTTTATAGTCGTATGAACTGATAATTTATTACCTCGACTTGGAAGAACTAATGCTATTACTATAGTTTGCTGATGTATAAAATTTGGACAAGTTGCTGGAGATTTGTGGAAGAAAGCGGCCAAAGTGTTTGCTCAATCCCAATGTTTGATATTACATCCCCATCGACCGGATTTTACAGGATGGCGTTTCGATAAATCAAATATTCAACTAACCATTAATCGATTTATCAACAAAATGCAATTCAATATTCTTATGGTAATTTCGTCGCTGTGTTTGTGGTCTATATACTGTATTAAAGATATACAAAATTTGAAATGATGAAGTGAAGCCCAAAGTAAAGTTTGTAATAACCCTAACGCCATTACGTATTATTAAACTTGCTACAGAATTAAACTCAGTACTTTATGGCCAAATTTTCTATTTAGGTGTGCTAAGTACAGATCCGAATACTCTATCAAAACCAAACCCCTATTGGTTGCCTTATTATTATGTGATGAACGTTCTCCTACAAAATGTACAATATCTTGTCCGGAAGAACAAGTCTCAGTCCAGCAACTTCTATCGGCACCAAAAATCTCCGCAAAGGACGTTAGTAGTAGCAATAGAAATTTATTATATTTAATCATGATAACGATAATAGTGATCATAGCAGTTAGTGTTAGTAATTGTGAGCCCCAAAAAATAAATGGCTTTGGGTCCTTATGTATTCTTGCTCCCGTTATTTGACTTCTACATTATAATTAACGTGTGACAGCTGACCAATGGTCAGGAACGCTTATTGGTATAAAATGCAAAATAAATTTATTCCGGATCAGAAGATACTTAGAACTTCTTCGTTTTTGTCACTCTGATCTAACTATCGGTGCATGCATCAGCAAGAAATTATTATAATATCTACAAACTGCAATACGTGATCGGCTGTATGGGAATTTCGACAGACGATAATGATGAAGCCGATTAATATATCCTAATAATAACCCCAAACCCGTTCTTACCAGGTTTGCAGCTAGTATGCACGTAAGCCATTCCATCATTTCATTTTCCTCCACAACTTTACATTATCCATTTCCTCTTTGCTTTTGCTACATACCAAACGTGAGCGTTCTACAAACATAAGTTCATACATGTTTTTCCATAAACATAACATCAGACCGTTGCCTTGTTTCCTTCACCACTGGCTACACTTTGTCGCTCAAGCTGGAAAAAAAATCTTGAATTACTTATCTATTTTGAGTAACGGCGTTAAGTGGTTTTGACAAACTCACATGCTAAGTAAATTTCTCCCTCAAGTTGGAAGCCCTTTCAATGGAGCCCGAAGAAGTGGAACCACTACACCTGCCATGTATGTCCCCTCGCTCTGTGTACTTGCAAGATCGGGTCCAAATGCGTGATTCTTCCATATACACACCCTGTCCGCCATTCCACTTCATAACCCGCCTCCAACAAGATATTATACACTCTCTCTTCGCATCTGAGTTGTGTTCGGCATCTTTTAAGTATAATGTGTTTAAAACAATCAATAAAGTTGTTATCTTCAGCGGAGAGGAAGAGATTGTATTACCTATTCGAGACAAAGTTAGTGTAACCAATGAAGGAGTTATTTCTATGAAAACAATTACTTACAGTATTAAGGATTTCATGCACAATCTTCTTCCAGATGTTGTTATGGCTAAGTTCTCTGGCAAGGTATTTAAATTCCTGCTGCATAAATTCTCCACAAACTCATTACGTTTTCTAGACTTCCTAAATCCATGCATTGGTTGATGGCATGGCGAAACCAATTTCGCGAAACTTCTGCCCCAACGATAAAAGATTGGTCTAATTCTTCACAATATCTGCATCGTCACTTATTACCAGACTAGCAAGCGGGTCCTTCCACGTCAAATCAGATTTTTTTTTCCAATCCTTCAGTATGTAAACGCGTCTGTATCTATGACCACATTTCTCTCAACGTTTTGTATAAGGCCTTCATACTAAAAGAAATCGAAGATTCCTAATAAATATACTGTAGGTTTCTTCAAGTCACTCATGTTCTTTTTGGCTTCTTTATCGCTAAGAGGATTGATAGAACACTGCAAACACCTTCAAAAACGACATCAAATATATTAGTGTCATGTTAAACAATAAACTTTTAATATACCAAGCTCGTGCCATCAGTAGAAAGTTACTATCTCTGCGCGGCCTACACATCGTAAGCAACTTTGTTTCCATACATGACTTGCTAGACTAAAGCCAGGGTACCACTCATGCATCCTTGGAGTTGAATGCCAGTACCAACAGAGCTAACAGGTACCAGAGTTACCTCCTGCTTTGTTCGTGGGGTTGAATCCAGGACTATATAGGTTTCCCCAGCCTATGCAAGTTTGATAACCTACCTTGACTTCATAAGCTCTACCATTATAAATAGCGTAGTAGACGTTGTCCATTTGATTGAATGTCTTTGGAGACGACAATGATTGTGTTACACACACAAATTTTTGGCGCGCGTTTTAAAAGTTATCACTATATTAATATTAAGATCAAGACATCTACATATTAAATTGTATGTATTATTAGAAAGTAGACGAGGAATCAGCCTGAAGGAATAAACATTAGTATTTCTACGTTCTATGCATTTATGTAGATGTGAAGTAATTACAACATCGACAAATTATGGTTATGGAGCATGCTGGCTGTGAATTGTTTAATTCCATGATCGAGAGAAGGGAACGGTAAGTTTTCGTTCTCTAAGAAAGTATTTGTAGATGTAACAATTGATAATACAATATTGCTATCGACACAAAATTACCCAGAGATTTAAACCCCGAAAAATACAGTTTTCTTGAATGAACATCGAAGATAATAACATTTTATTCTCGAATTAACACGATTTCTATATTTTTGCTTCTATAGTCTGGATCACCATCAGTCTGTCCCGTATAATGACTGATGGGAGTCTACGCCGCGCCAGAGGTTATTTCAGGAAAGCTATACGCTCGGGCCAGAAGTTTGGGTTATCCTGTTATGCTATACTGTACGTGATGTTATGTGGCCGGCTGCCTTTTTGTGATGAAAAGATTAATGGTAACTACATTTGATTAGAACTATTGTGCTTATTCAATCATCTAATCTCTTTCTTTAGTATAGATGACATTTTATACGCTTCCACCTTCTTTTTTCTCGAAACCGTTCGTCAATGCTTATAGTTGACCCTCTTAAACAATTACCATCGCTCAATAAGGTAAGTCAGACCTCATGATTTTCGAAAGTCAATGACATCGATGTTCATGTATTGCAATATTTTAGAACATGCCAAACGACAATATACAAGAATCTGAGAATAATCAACTAAAAGTCACATATCAGCTTGTCGTCGATCATAAGGGATGACATTCAACGCTATTTTCACTTACTAAACACAATGTTCAAAGAGTGCCCATCCAGCATAGCAGTTTTAAGTTCTAATATAGAATACTCACAAAAGTAACATTACTGTTTCCATACATTCTTGTCTTGCCCTCCCATTACGACCAACATCTATCTATCAGATCGCCGTCATCCCTACCTCTTCCTCGGAACCGTGAAACTTCTTACCGGACAAACACACGAGAGCACGATCAAAATGGCAGTTGGAATCTCCACAACTCGATTGTCTTGACAACCACCGTATCAGTATTCTGTTACTATCTATGACTGTGCAACTCGACTTGGCATACTATCAAAGAGATTTTTTTATTTGCTTGCATCAATTTGCGGTTATAAGTTAGCAATGACACTACTTGCAGAGTATACCACTATATTAATCAAAGACTAAACCGTTGGAGGAAAACATGCCCTCGGATTTCAGAAAAGCAACATACCATACAGTCAGAAATTGCGCAAAAAGTATTCTTCGAATAACAGAATGTCTGATGTGGTAATATGAGAGAGAAAAGTGATGTCTTTGAATTAATACTCGACACCAATACTCAATAGGCTTTGGAATATGTTTTCTGATGCTACGGTTTTGGCTTTATGGGTTTTATATGAACTGAACCTCTAGCATGCGCCTTCGGTTTGAGCATTAGAAGCTGCGAAAAGAATTTTCGAATACAGCCCAAATGAGAAGCTTTGCTCGCTTCATAACAATAATCTTGCGGTGCTGAATTGGTTTTTTGATCGATCCAAATTTGATACGTCCGGTATCATAATCACGGCATGGCAAGATACATGGCGACAGCTTTGAATATTCGAGTTGTATCACCGACATTTGTTCGCGTCTATCCGTCATCAAGGTTTCAATCGCAACACTATAATGCCGAACATAGTTGATAAAACTATCAGCTGGCGTACAAAGTCCTCACATTGACAATATGTTATTATAGCATTCTGTAACTTTGAGACTTAATTATTTACACCAGGGAATTCAGAATTGGTATGGCGAGGTAGTGAATATTACAAACGACGGTAACAATCCTTTTTATATTTCCTGTGTGTCACATATTCTTACCACGGTCAATTGCAGCTGTCATCTAGACTAGTCTGAATCTGGTTCAGAAAAAAAGTATTGTTTCCCATGCAACGCTGCGTTTGCCAATGCTCCTGACACCAAAATAAGTGGAAGAGGTTTTTTTGATTTTACCGCTCTCTTCATGTTGAACAGCGTATATGAAAGAGACCAGGCTATAATCCAGGATTGGACAGTTAGCACATAATCCCGTTAACGAATTACAAAGGGGTATAATATTCAACCTGTCGTGGTCCCCGATCCATTCGTAATGTCTCCTGTGCTCGTAATGTAACTATTTATCGATTAAAAAAACAAGATTACAACGTGTTCATAATCTATCCAAGAAATCATATTCAAGTGACTCACCCAGCACCTGCGAATATAAAACCGAAAGCAGACAGTTCAAGAAGGGAAGGTATTCCAGTGAGTTTCATCATCGCTGCAGGAGTTGAAGCGAAACCTGATGTGAGATTAAATTAGTATTGAATAGGAATAAAGAATAATAGCAATGATCTAACCGTGTCGGCTATAAAGTGCAACTGTGAAATCGTCATGACAATGAATTGAATGTACATAAAGCGGACATAGCCCATGCTGGATATGGTGTTTTAGCTAAGACTGAGTAGAAAGACTCCTTGTTTGACTGGGTAGCTTTTGAGGAAATTTTCGGTAAATTTGCATTGGAGATAGTGGTTGGAGACGAGTTTACAACATCTTTTTCCGTTGTCATTGCTATTACTATGATATACAGTATTGCCTGTCGTATAGAACATGAATGTAATAAATTGTGAAGATCTAGAAAATTCCTAACAATACGTCATTGATTTAAGCCACTGATCAGCGTGCAAAAAGTTACCAATGAGGAATTTGAGAAAGTAATGTCCGAGCTGGAAGAGCTGGAAGAATACTTACGACATATACGCGAAAAATTCAGTGCTGGCAACTTGCGACATGTGGATATAAAATTGCATTTAGCAAGAGTAGATACCACAACAAAGTTACAAGTTTAACACAACAATTAAAAATGCAAAACCCAACGCCATAATTTTTGACATTTTCCATAATGTTTCGTATTTCACATTATTATTAATAAAGCGACAAACAAATATTACTTATCTATTGTCGAGAATGTATAATGACAACCACTCTTGTATTTGTAACTGTAAGATGTTGATTGTAACATAATACCACTGTAACAGTTGTTTAAATGTTGATACGATGTCCATAGAGTAATCGATTATAGAATATGATCGCACAACACTGACATTGTAAATTTGTCAAGATCAATGATCATTTCGACCTACGCGGACAAAATGGAAAGTCCCGTGAAAGATGCGGGCATACTGTAACTTTCGTAATGGTGAGTAGAAATATTCGTATTAACTCTTTGCTAGGCGTCGAGCGTAACCTAGTTGCAACGGAATACAAGTAACTCACAAAATCATAATATTTTCATAGGCTAACGATATCCCTAAATGATGTCGGAGTTTATAGATCTAAAATGAAGCCACTATTCATTTGCAAGTTCAGTCAGGGAATATACCAAAAAAGGAAACGGGTTCTAGAATGATCTGCGGTCCAATTCTTGAAATTTGATTGGCTTACACACTCTTTACGTCCGCATTCTTTGTGAATTTTCACCCTATTCGACCGCGGTTAAAAACCATACAAACATACAGAAAAACACCTCTACTTTTCATATTTGCCAATAATCAAAAATAATCAACTCGTTTCGAAAAAGTAAATGAGACGTGAAAATTACAGTTTTTGCATACGTTAACGTATTAAGACGAAATGAAGAACGTAATTCCGCTAACTAAGTTGTATTCAAACATTTTTTTTGAACAGTGTCCGTTTACCAGAAACCAAGAGCAAGAGACCTTCCATGCGTCTTTGCAAGTTTAGTTGAAGCATATGGTGAAGTTGGGTTGAGATCATGCGAAACGAAAGAACACCAAATGTGGCGGCATGCGAGTACCAAAGAAACAGCTAAGCGACTTGCACTCTTTCATAATTATATTCCTGAACTTGCTAATATACATTCTTCATTAAAGTCATATGCGATTTGTGAAAGACATTACAACCAAATTATTGCTACTAATCAATTTTATCAGCATTTTATAAATCGCAGTCAAGAAAATAAAACGACCCGGCCCGATCATGGTGAAGATGAAATCGCTCAAGCTGATCTTGGCAAACTCTTGGAGCTTGCTCAGTTAGAAAATCGACAGAAATCTCAGTCTATAACAGAACTGAACAATCAGTTTATACGAATGCAACGGCACCTTGAGGATCAGAGCACTGAAATCGCAAAACTAAAGAAACAACTACAGAAAGCTTACGAAGATATGAATGAGCTTCGGAATTTGTATGAGGAAGAAAGTAAAAAGAATGAAATTCTAACTGAACGGTGGAATTTACGATTTGCTGATCACTGTAAACGTGTTAGCGCAATCGTTGAAATAGCTAACGAAGAACGCATATCAGTATACAACGATGTGGAATCGTTAATCCGAGATAACAATAGGTTCTTATCATGGTATATGAGCCGTATGAATGGCTGAGTAAACGCAATCAAGTCATTGTTAAATTTGTTGAAACTCTGACTCGGAACAACAACAATATCCCCTTGAGCCCGGAGAAACTTTTTAAGACTGTTGTTGCGGTTGATTCAATATACGGTGCATGACATGGGAAATATGTATCAGAAATCCATCTTGCCGCATCAGCTGTCAAGTATTCAATTACATGATCAAAGAAGGCTATCAACATTGATAATCATATTACAAGTGCAGGAAGCTATTGTCGATTTCAAACCTGGCTAGAAGGATTATCGGACCGTGAAGAACCGTTACCTGAGGGCCTTTTGTTTCTTGCATTTGATAATGAACAACGGGGACAAAAGACCTATCTTGATCGTGGATTTAATACAAT